CTTTTCCGGCTTTTAAAACCACTGAAACAAACAAACAAAAACATCAACCAAGCAACGCCTCTACAAATTATCTTCTGTAATACAGGAAAGGAGAGAAATACTGGCTGCATCCCTCTTCCAAGCAGCAAACGGGTTCCAAGTACAGATGCCGAGAGTACCCACGTCCCAGCACATTGTGCACTTTTCCAGCCCAAACGAGAAGCATTCTGTGAATTATTCTAGAAACTGCTCACGAGTGGATGTTTGGAAATCGCTAAGAAGCGGCAAGTGCTGAACCAACAGGGTCTATGTTTACTGTTGTGTGTATTTTACAGTCCTTAGTTATGGCAGAAATGAGCGCAGCTCCTCCGATGGCCCTGGGTGTTGTCAGCCCTCGTGGTGCGGCTGCAATACAGTTGTTAGCACCGGCTGTGGCTGGCAGGTGGTGGCTACACCTGAACCTAGGCAAGGTTTTGCGTGGTACCAGAAAAAGCTGGAAATATTCACTCTCTTCAGTGGGGAGGCAGTGGGGAAAGCGGTGCACGGGGGTGATGCACTCACGGCAGCCGGGGTTGCTAAGCACGCAGCCTGCTATGCCGCTAAGCAGGCAGGACCCAGCAGAGCCATTAAGTCTGGAAGCAGCTGAGTATTTAATAAGCTGCATGCTACCATGCATTTACATAGCTTAAGTTGTAGTAAAGCCCTAGCAGTAAAGGGTCAAAAGTGCAGGGCTGGAGGGCTAAAGCCCACGCAGACGGCATCGTAACCCATCCAGTCCTCAGCGGAGAAGGACTTAGGGAGGAACTGCGAGAAAACAAGTCTCCCACTAACCGAGGAGAATTTTAAAGGCCAAAAGGCAAGAATGTTAAAAAAACCTGAAGTTAAAGCACATGTGACCAGGTCTGGCAAAGCTCATTTATGCAAAGGTTGCGGGGTATCTCTGTGCCCCCAATAAACCGAGCATAAGGAGTGCAGTGGAAAGGAAAATGAGATTCCCCTCTGTCGTGGTTTACATGGCTAAAACAACATGGACTCTTTGCTCGCCCCGTCTGTGTGGTCTCAAGATTCTTTTACGTCAATTATTTGACACTTCGTTATTTCCCAGTGTGCGTATTTAACTATTTCCCTGGGCACCATCTTCACCCTGACGCTGTCGGAGACCAGAGTCCTGCCCCACGCAGTGGCTCCTGGCAGCGGGCTCTCCGTCTTCTCTCTTTTCTCTCCCTCGTTAGCAAAGGCTGTCTCAATCCTCACAGCGCTACCGGCTTCGGACAGGCGAGCCCGTGTCCGATTCCTCTTCCTCCAGCGTAATCACGGACTTCAGCGACCGTGCTGTTCATTTATACTGACGTAACCAAGATTGAAATCTGTCCCACAGCAAATATTTATCAGAGCATATCAAAGGAAAAGCAGATCAGAAGAGAAACAGGCAAAACAGCGAGTGCTATTAAGCATTGCCAAGATAGATTTCAAAGTCAATGAAAACTGCCCAAGAGACACAGAGCTAAAATGTAGGACAAAGTAGAATGCTGAAAAAAAATAAACCCAAATTTCCAAACACTGATGTCCTACATCTCCCACACAACAATTTTTAATTAGTTATAACTTGCAGGGATTAAGAAGGAAAACCTGCACAGAACTAACAAAACACTCTGCTGCTTTTGTTTCCATCTTGGCTTTGCTATGTACGCCCAGCGCGGCTGCCTGCGCGGGTCAGGGACCCTTTCTACAGAGTAGCAAGAAAGAAACGGGACAACATCCACAAGTGGCTTTCCAAATTACACAAAATAATGGGATGCCACACTTTAATTAGATAATCAAAACTCTGCTGCTGCTTTGCTACATGCCAAGGATACTCAGTTTCTTGGCAACAGACGCCTGATTTTCCTTCTTTGTTATCCAGGTCACAGCCATTTGGGTTAGAGGCTCATTTCCAGCAGCAGTGCAGGGCACTGGCACACAGCTTCCCGTCCTGCTGTCGGTATCCCCCTGAAGTTCAGTGTCTTTTAACTATAATTATGAAAGCTGTTAAATGTTAAAGCCCTTGTAAAGGGTAGCTTCTCAATATTCACAAAGGTCAGGGGATGTGTAAGCGTATTAAAAATTTGGGTAGCCCTGTGCAACACCAGCAACTTCTTCCATCAGCGGCAACAGCGTCTTGTCCTGTTGCAGCTAAAGAACATGACTGCAAGCGTGAAGAGGGAGAGAAGGAAAACAACTGTTTCATCCCCGGCTCTACAGTTTCTCTGAAAGTTAGGTCCACTCCATCCCTGACCTGTCTTCCTAACTTCTTATGAGACAGGGGAACACCATCCTAGAAGAGGTCTACCTGCTGTCCAGGTTACGTGTGGAAACGGCACGTGTTTCTGCGGAGCGCCGACTCGGTCAGTGAGCTGGAAGAAACGCACGTTGCACTGACCACTGGTACCAGTGCGTTGCCCGAGCTGCCATCGCTGGAACTGCGGAGCAAACCCCATGCAGCCTCAGCATTACCAAGTGTCATCAACTCAAGCATCATCAATCCACATGCAAGGCACAGGTCCTCATCCTCAGCAGTACTTCAACTGGAAAGGCCTAACAGCACACATTTTTGAAAACCAGATACTTTTCACCAGACAGGAATATAAAGCGTGCTACCACGGAGTGGGTGAGACAGAACAACTCGTACAGACCAGATGGTCGTCACACTGCTTAACGCACTGCTGGAAGGTGCCCAGCTAGTCTGGTGATGAGCGACAGAAGAATGTATATAGGATAATGCTCTTTGTTAAGCGCTAGCAATTCATTACATTATATTCCTGAGAACAGCTGAGGTGAATTAACCACAGTAAACATTTACTACTCCTTCTGACAGCCCTAAGATCATATCTGTGCTGCTGCCATGGTTGATGGTACCTTCTGGGCAGATGTCAACTCGTTCAAAGCTAACCCAAAGCCAACTACCCAGGTAAGCGTAGTGTCAAAGCCTCGCCAATAAACCACCCAGCAGATACATTCACTTATGCTCACTGCTACACTAACCATCACCTGGGTTCCGGTCAACTGGGAGCGTGACCAGAACAGGCTTGCATCCACCCGGAAAACATAACAAAAGCAGAGCTTGACAAATGTGACACATCAGGTGTTGCAGTAACGGTGGTTAAATGCTCCCACCTCCAGGTGCTTCAGGCAAAGGAAGGGTTACCAGGAACATGCCCTCTACGGAGTCTTCAACCTGATAAGCAGGTATAAGACAAGATATTTGTATTCTTCTTCTCTTGCGTACAGCCTACATCCATGCTTATGTATCACCATTTAGCTCTAAAAAACATCCTTCAAGTTTGATTCTTTTTCATTAAAAAGCAATCACCGAGCAATTTCATGAAAATAATGCTGCAAAGTGGAATTTGGCAGAACTTGTGGAGATCGTATTTTCTATTGCCTGTCCTAAATTTGATCTTGCACTAGGGACAGGCGAGGTAAACAAAGCGGAATCTTGATCACAAAAATCTGGATTGCCTTGATATTCTGGAAATGAAGCTAAGACAATACTGCTTTTTTCCCCCAGAGAACAGCCTGGCCCTGTAAGATTAGTATCTCATGCACAGGAGGGCAAGTGAATTAATTTCTACTCAGAAAATGACTGCTTCTGCAGGCACATCTTAAATACTGTTCTTGTTTCATAAACTTCTGAAGATCAGAGAGTAGCCATTTTCTACATGATCTCCTGTGGAACAAAGTACACAAGTGCTCCACGGTTACGTTTTGCATGAGCCATCGCTGTCCATATCCAGTCATCTGCAACATCTAATAAACCATGGATCAAAGTGGAGAGCAGGTTAGACAGCCTTGGCAACCTTACCATTCTGTATGAGCCAACTCAATAGCACAGGTTATTGTAGCTGGGACACAGGTATGAGTAGTTTCAAAATACAATTTAAGATTTTTGCTCTGTTTATTTGGGTTATCTTGTAAGGGGAATATTCCACAGTATGATGGCATTCAGTTATGACATACAATTCTGTCCACAGAGGAAACACAGTCACCAACTAAAATCCATAAAATTATTACACAGTTTTAGCACAAAAAAAAATAGGTAAAGTCAGAAAACAGGAAAATGAAATTTTTCTTTCTTTTAAAAATACAAAATCTTAACAAAGAAACTGTATTAGAGGTAATGCAGAACACCATTTTTTTTAAAAAAGAAAATCTCTCCAGAAAATGTTTCTGACTTCATACAAGAAGCTTGTCAAAAAGCAGTTTTACTTGTTTTAGTACAGCTTGCTTTTATCACTTCATTTTAGATAATTATTTTTCCAGTTAATCATCATCTCTGTCTCACGTTTAGACTTTAAAGGTGCCTAGCACCTTGGTATTTGAGTAGTAGAGACTGCTGGTTTATTTAAATTTATTGAAATCATTATCTTCTTTATTACTGCCCCAGTCAATAATATCCTTCCTGTTAACTATCCACATACACTTTGAAATATTGTAGTCTACTTTGTTGTGGTCTCTGTTTTTTAATTGTAGGTCTGATGCTAATGAATGGAATAAAATAGGACTCCTCAGAAAGCATCACATTTCCCATCTCTGGAGAAAAGTTATTTTCCTCACTTTATTACTATTTCCCCTGACAGTTACCTCAAGCCTATGACAATGACGTAGTCTTAACTCTTCACTCCTGTTTGGCGGTATTTCACTGACAGTTAGCACTTTCTTATCGTGGGATGACAGCTCAAAAGACTCTGGAGAGCGATGCAATTTTCAAAATTCAGCTTTTAATTCATAGGTAGTCCACTCTCAAATCATCCTGGCAGCAGTCTCTGAGAATGGGCACGGAAAGGAGTTCCTCTAATACTGAAACTCAGGCTCCCTTTAATGCTAGATTAAAGCATGCCAACCAGGAAACCTACTGACCATTCTCTCTCTTATCTAGAAAAGGAGCATCTCCTGACTTCCCAAAGGTGTTAATGAACACTACACATACATCCATGACCACTGAAGAACGACGTCCAGATTTCATTTTGACTGTAAATGCGGCAATGCCTGTGAACCACTCAAGAGAGCACCAATCTTTCAGAAAGATGAAATCAACTGTCATCGTCCTCCAACAATAATTGGAGATCTTCATTCTTCCTCAGTCGACGTTTCTTCATTCTCAGAATCCCTCGCTTTCGGATGTAAGTGCTTCATCAACAGATTTTGTACTCCTCTCCCCGGCATAAATCCCATAATGCAGCTGGTCATCCTTTACAGTAGCCCAGGACATCTGCTTGGTGGAGAACCTTGCTGCCCACTCTCCTGAATTGTTAACAACAATGACACCACCCAGTCCCCCAACTCGTGTCTTCATGTAGTCTAATGCAGTGTCAGCGGCCATCTCTGGTGACATGCCTGAAAAGAATAAGATAACTTCATGGTATCTGTCTTGAAATAAGTTTTGAAATTCCCTTCAAGTTTCACCCCTCCCCATGGAGCCAGCCAAATCTAATTCCTCCTCCACTAAATCAGCAAGCAATCTCCAGTGTAGTAAAGGAACTGTTTATTAGGAAGGCGCTGGACAGTTGCTAATAGCTGCTATGGTATGGTGCTGCTACAAAGACAGGATTTAAATAACTTCAGATTGTAATTCAGTTGCAGTGCTTGATATAGACTAATTCATCAAACACAACAAATGTGTTTAAGACACATTACGCCATCATTTGAAGGGAAAAATGCCAATCTGCAACCTTTCCATCAAAGGTTTGTCACAAGCTAGGTCTAAGGCATTTACAATTTGAAACAAAAGTGCATTAAAACAATCCAAAATTTCAGTCATCGTCTATGTTCCAAGTCCACTGGCTGCAATGGAGCTCAAAGCACGTACTTGACATTGTCATCATTTATCAAAAGCAGACCTCAGGGTTACTCTTCCTGAAACTTCTGAAAGTATCAGGCAAGATGAGGACTCAATGTACTAGACATCAGAGAGAGAACCAGAGAACTGTATCTTTTCATTACACTTAATTCATATTAACAGGAATATTTTCTAAATAAATCAAAGTTAATGGTTGCATCATATACACAGGCCTGTAATAGCTGCAGAATGTTTGCTCACTGCAAGTCTGAATCCATATTCAGGAATGCAGTTGTCTCGGCCTAATTGTTCTAAGATACATACCATCGGTAATGTTATGCAGCTTAAGTTGCAGAACAAAAACTGTCCTTCATGCCTCCCCTGCAAATTTTGAGTTAAAACCAAACAAAACCAGCAGAGTCAGAATTATTCACAGCACTGGTGACTGACAGAATAAAGCTCCTTTGTCTGACGTTACGGGCGACACTGTGACTATTCAAGTCAGTGGCACTGACTTCAAAGGGTCAGTATTTCACTGTTTGATTTTTCATCAAGACAACAGCTGCCACCGTTAAGACAGAGATTCCAACAGCTGTTAAGACTGGCAAAGCAATTCACTCCTGAAATATGAAAGTAAATTTTGCAGCATTGGTCCAAAAGAACATATTTACTATGTGAATTACTGAACAGCTAAAGCAAATTATGAAAAAAGCTCTATAGTTGTTCTTAGATACGCAACTTCAGTTGACCGTTCAAGGACTCAAAAAGTTACAATAACTTCAGGGCTTGTTTTCAGAGCCTTCATGGAAATGGTGGGGGGGCGGGGGGGAGGTCTATTGCTGACGTATTTTCCTGGCAGCTGAGTTGTACTTCTGGGCAGGATGAATGAAGGCAGAGCAAGCACAGGCAGGGTGAACAAGTGCAAACCAATTAAACACGCACACATGTGGGTTCATTTTCTTTTTTCTTTTTCCAAACAAACAAACAAAAAAAATCTAATTTGAGCCTCATTTGCCTTTCATACTGATTTATCACAAGCCAGACAACTGCTATCAAGGCATAGTTTTTGCAGAGCAGTTAACTTCAAGCCAGAGAAGAAACTGGTTTACATAGTTCAGACTAAATAGAGCTCAGAAGGCCATTCACAAATTGAATGGCCAGGTACATAATATAGAGAGTAAGGGGAGATCATAACATGTTAGAGCTTTGGGAAATAACCTGTAGGTTGTATTTTATGCTGAAACTCTCACATTAGCCAAGAGATTTACAGAGAAATGCGCCCACTGTATGCAAGCAGCTCTGTAAAGCACAACAAAAATATTCTCAGCTGTTACTTGTCCCTCCGCATACTGCTTCTCCAATGAAAATGTAAATTGAAAGTTTTCCAACTATTTCCAGTTCGGCTGATCTCAAAGCAAGTTACACTGCACTGCCCAAAAGCTATGGCTTTCTAAAAATAATGGTGATATCTATATTAACGGTTCTTCAACTGCATGCAATACAAGTATGTTGTCTGGCTACGTTCACAGGCAGTAACATAATCAAGGGTTTAGATGACAGACTATCTCATGAAGGTAAAGCTCCAAAGGCTCATCCCACAGTCAGATTAGATTACAGTCACATAAGACATACTGTGTCAGCTGTTTACCACATACACACCCAGTCAGTTTAGCACATTTTCCAAAACAAAAAGAAAATTTAAATCATAGTTAAAACATATTAAAAGCATTTCTGTAGCTATAATCAGAGTTGTTAGAATAAAAACCATTACAGTTTATTAGAAAGATGATATTCTATGCTTTATTATTTCAGCTCTGATTATCTACCTCTAGCCCTCCCCTATTGCTTCCTTTAAAATATCTTGCTTTTACTTGTTTTCTATTTCTTTGTTCACAGAATTCTAGTTTAAAATTGGGAAAAAATTATTAAATAGAACTTCAGTTAAACAAAGTGTACACAACAATGTCTTTCAATGCACATTGATTGAAAGCATGATTAAATATCAAGCAGCACAGATATTTCTGTCCACTTAAGGCTATTTTAGCTTTATTAATACTTTAATACTTTGCTTTGTTTTTAAAGAGAGGTGACCCATCCACATATCCCTGGGAGCAACTCTTCCGACAACTGTTCTAGGATGATAGTACATAAACTGAAACCTGCCATTAGGCAACGTTTCCTATCCTCATTATTTCAGCTTACAGGAAGTTTGGAATATACCTTGCTCCATGTGATAGAGGATCAGTCGGGCTAAGACCACTTTCATAATGCTCTCCCCATGTCCTGTGGTTGAAGTGGCACCAGAACAGTTATCGGCATAACCTCCACTTCCTTTTTGTAAGGGAAAAAAAAACAAAAGCAATATTCTGTAACACAATTTACAAGCTCTGCATCGTTTAAAATAGGTGCCAAACATTTCTTCCTAAAGGTCCAGCACTTCTGGGGACTAAGTGCCAGTAACTAACTTCTTTCTCATTTCTGCCTCAGTTTGAAAAGTAAAATGGATGAAAGAGATCAACAGCTGGATGAAGTCAGTTGCCAAGTTACGAGCTAGAAGTGTTAGTGATCTGCTTGTGGTACAAGAAGCAGAAGCAGGCCAACATTTCACAAGGATGGGCAAAAACCTATTCCAGAACAGCAAGGGACGGTGTATTGAGGATCAGCAAGATAGTGATGGGATGCACAATGCCAGGTCACACAGTATTACCAACTGAGAAGACAGGAAGGAAGATCTCGTGACGACCTTAGTGAACTGACCAATGTTTGAGGGGGGCTTATCTGCAAGAGCAAAAGCAGATAAGCGATTTGCAGAGCCTGGGCTCTAGTGCAACATCACAAATCACCCCTGAAAAATCTTGCAAGTCCTCACCACAAGCAGAGTGTTTCTTCTGTTGAAAAAAACCCCCCCTCTTTTTTTTTTTTTCTTTTCCCTCCCATCCTTGTTATTCTGGCACATTCCACACCCTGTTCTCCATCAAGCTTCCGCTTGCTCAACACCCATGTTTCTAGCACATCTCCTAAGAAAAGTATTTCCCAGGAGCTGGGGAGGAGCATACCACAGCACTATAAACAAGGCCTGGGGAGAGGAATGAGGCATAGCAGAGCAATGAAAATTTCTTCCCTTCTGTACTTTCTTGATCAGATCAGACCCTTTCAGTGGACCCTGATTTACACGAGGAAAAACAGTGCCACAACCAGTCTGTCAAAGCTCCTTTTCAAAAGCTCTAATATCTAAAAGGATAGCTAGCATTTCTGTATCCAACCCTGCAGATGTCCAATAAGAGCAAAAGTTGCAAGCAATACTCAACAGTGCCCAGTTTTGCTTATCCTTCAGAGCCCTATGTCACGTGCTATAGGAGCCCTGAATGTGATCTATGTAAGAGAATGGTATTTACAGTCAGAAATGAAGCTGAAAAATCACAGTCAAAATGCAGAGGGTACAAAATATTAGCAACTTTGGGTGAGAGACAAAGTTAGTTTTATAATAATATGTACTGCCAACAGCAGTGCTATTTGAGTTTGGAACATGTTTTACGAAAATTATTCTCCAAATCCCAACTGTACGGTAGAAACCTGAAGCAATCAAATGGCAAGTCTGTTCCTCACGTGGGACACGTCTGGGGAAAAGATTTCAAGTGTCTCTTTATAATTGGATAAGAGATCTCTTAAAATGTTTCCTCTATTCCACATTGAATCTATTAGGCTCTGAGGCAGTCTTCTCTGGGCTTTCTAAGAACACGAATTTACTCAAAGTTGCCAGTCATTTTACAGTTCTGGCTCACTGATATAACAAACAGTAGTTACAATTACACCTGCTTCCTTACGTATCAAGAGAACAGCACCTTAGTATGGAACAGGCTACTTTTTTTGACTTAGCTGTAAACATGGATGTACAAAAGGACAACTTTATCAAAATGAACAGAAAGAAAACACAGAAAAAAGTGTTAGCATTCAGGAAAGGACAGAAAAAAGAAACGCCTCATGCTCCAGACAGAAAAGTTTTGGATTATGATAATAATGACAGCACTACACCTCTACTCCCGATCCTCACTTGCATTCACCATGCCGTGTTAAGGAGCTTGAAGTTTGATACATTTGAATGTTAGACCTCCAATTCAGATTACCAGTATTTATGTTTCACTAATGAAAAGGAGAATTTATTTTTTTCTTTCTTTAAATGAGACACCTACAAAAAATGAGAGGCAAGACCCCACACCCCATACCTATGCATGCTGTGTCACCAACACGGCCAATCAGTTTATTAGAGAGTCCTCCAGTGGATGTTGCACAAGCTACATTTCCTTCACTGTCTAGAGCAACAGCACCAACTGTTCCAAGGTCTCTGCCAAGAAAAACAGTTCACAAAATTAGGTAGAATTAAAGCATACCTGCCAAAGCATGTTCCATTTATTTTCCAGGTAGCTGTAAAAAAAAAAAAAGATTACTGCAAAAAAAATACTGCTGATTGTAAAGCTATTTTTTACCATGCTTCTAATTAAAAAAACCCAACAAGTAATATGCAACAATTCTCATGTATTTATATTGAACAGAGTAGAAAACACTCTTTTTTTTTTTTTTTTAATCTGCCCCCAGGACTTTTTTACCTTCATAGCATGGAAACTTCGATTTGGGGAGGAAAAAAACCCGCAAAACAAAAGCACACAGGACAGAAATATTTCTAGCCATCATAGCTCTAGAGTACATTTTGGTTGTGACACACTACTTTCCCCTAAACAGCAACTCAAAGACACAAGAATTGTCTCCACTGTCTCAACGGGAGATTAACCGGAATTATTAATGACAACGCACGTACACAAGTGAATACAGAAAAGGAGAGTAATGCTACGAATGCACTGAGTCATTTCCTTCCTGTTCCTCCTCTTTCCTTTTCCTTATTCCCCTAAATGTTTGAATGCCACAAAAAGGTTCTTTATGTGCCTTTCAACTAGTACCGTCCACAACACATTATTAATACATATTTTTATCTTTGTACTCTGTAGTTAAGCAATCTTCAAATCACTTGGCCAGAAGAATCTGTTGAAACCGCACATCAGCTTAAAAATCTTCATGTACTGAAGAAAACAAAGTCTCAACTACTGCTTTATTTCTTCAGCACACAAAAGTCATATACAATAGGCTGCTTAAAATATACATGTCTGTATTCATACTCAGAGCAAAAAAGGCTATTGTAACTTACTGTCACAGCTGCTGCACTGAGAAGCAAGACATTACTGAGAAGCAACAGTTTGAGTGTCCACATACTCTGATCTTGGCAATTCATGTAGGAACATAAAACAGTACCTGGCTAACAGAGGTATAAAAAAAAAAAAAAAATCGAAATCCCTCAACACAGGAAAAGAATTTGTAACAATCCTTCAAGGAACTGCCCAACAGGCGACTCGAACAGCAATACCTTGGGAAGCTGCCTGGGTACTGGTGAGGGTCTCTCTAACTCCCCCAAATCTAAGCTAATTAAGTCAGACAAAGTCTTGTGTACCACGAAACCCACAATCTTTCAGAGAACCAACTTCCTGCTCCCTCCTGCATACGTAAAATATCATACTGTCAATCCCTACACTTCATTCACAGCAATTCAAAGTTGACTGATGAATCACAGGCCTTACAAACTGCTCTGACATTTATGCGGAGACGGACCTCATCTCAAACTGATATGATGGTGCAGATGGGCTTCCCACCCATCCATCTGTTATAAATGATTTGCTGAAAAGAATATTCGTAAATTCAGTACTCCCTTGCACGCTCATGTGGCACCCTTCAACCAACTAAAGTTACACCCTCCCGAGAAATTAAGAAAGTTGCATCCACACATACATTTTCCTAGGTACGTATTTACCTTAAGCAACAGTGAGAATAATCAAAGTACACAGATCACATACGCAGCAGCTACCTGTTTAGGTACAAGAGCCCAATCAGCGATGCGTAACAACGTGAATGTGTCCAACATACCTCATCTGCGGCAGAGTGAACAGACAACTACGCTCTATTTCTTACTGTCCCTTTAAACTTTGTTATTGCTTCAGTGTCACGTTTTCTTTGTTCATCTTCAGAACAAAGGCAAAGAAGACATAAACAATCTGTTACATATCTAATTGACTCAGAAACATTACGAAGGCAGGCAAAACTGTTTAAGTAGAGATACCGTATTATAATCATCGATCGTTAGTTAGTGATAGTAGTAAAAATCTCAACAACTACCTGTAGTATACCAGAGCATACTCTTCAATCAAGAATTATTCTTCTATACTGCATACACTGTGATACAGAATGGATCACTTGGATTTTTTTCATTCCTTTTTGTCTAAATCTTTCATTAGCCAGCACCAATAAAGTTACATGTACTTTTGTGGCCCCGTTCAACTAATAAAACATCTGCTCTTTTGTCTCTCCGCCCTCCATCAGTAGTAAGGTTTTCTGTCAACTGCTGTTCAAGGTCCTTTTAGTTAACACCTCCTTGAGTTACTCCTGCACTGTGATTCACAGAGGGACAAGTGAGCCCATCTACCATCAGCCCCCTTTCTGTGGGGTTCTCAGGCAATCTCCAACAATTCTTGACAAGGGTATGGTCAGAATCTTTGGAGCGAGAGACAGAAAATAAAACAAATCACATCTCATTCTCAGCAAAAGGTGTACAAGATGCCACGCTGTACGTGCAATGGAATCATAGGCTTTTAACATAAATTAATGCAGGCTTCTAACCAGCAGAAAAGAAAGGCCACTCTTCTGGAGACACCAAACTTTGCTTGGAAAGCTGTGAACTCCAAAGGTTTCCAACATTGTTAGGACCAGAGGACTGGAAGTAAAGTACACACCAACATTCAAATTCCCAGTATGATCTGGTATCATGTTGCCTCTGACGAACACTACTTCACCTTCTGCCTGTTTGCCTCAGGCAAGTTTCTGCATAATCACTGTGGACATAACAGGGAAAAAGAACATTCCACATGCAATACAGGAACAAACAAGCCTGCATAAAAAAAGACCTGTTTTCAACTTTGTGAATTTGTGCTGATGTTTTGGGCAATGGTTGTCAGAAAAAGAACAGGGTGGCTAAGACAAGAAAAAGTCTTGAGCCCTTCAGAAATACACAAGCCTTCTAATAGCAGGTATTCCAGAACAAGGCAATGCTGAAATTGAAGATGTCTAATGCTGTTACAAAAAAAAAGAAAAGCAGTTATAAAGAACAAGTGGAGACTCAGATGCCGCGCCATTCCATCTTATATATTCAGGAGACCAAGCGTCAGCAGGGGCTATGCCATCCTCAAAATTCTTGGTAATGAATTACAATACTACACAGTCCTTGGGTACACCACGGATCAAAAGAAAACTTCTGTTGGATACAAGATCAACTACAACTGAGACCTCAGGGTCAAGAAACAATTTCACTTTGTTTACAAAACCATATTTACACTTGCCTCATGAAATTGTTTTTCCTTCTAGCAGTTTACTGGAAGTACCATATAGCTTGTAGTTTATAACTTCATTTCATAGGCTTTAATTACTGTGACCACAGAAAAAATTTCCTCCTTTTGATCTGCAAATTTTCCAGCTTTGCTTCTCTCATTACCATTATTCTACAGAACAGATGAGCAACACGCAACACAGCATTTATGTGATGTAATACGGTGTTTTCCTATGCCACAACCACTGATGTACAAATGCAAGCTCAAAACCATTTAGTATTTATGCCTACCTCACAGGCATAAAAACTTTTTTGACACCTGATGATTCTCCTTCCTTTCTCATCCACCTCACCTTCCTCTTCACTTTATGAGAGACTTGCTTATTTTTCAAGTCACTTTTGTTTTGCTGTTGTGCAGTACCACCCATTAGCATCTCTCTTCACACCCACCACTACAGTGAACTTGGTCAATTTTTTCATTCCTATCTACAATAACCAACAGCCACAATAAGCGCTCAGAAGGAGTTACGGGTCAAAATGTGACATTGTTTAACTACCTGATCCAGTTCAAAGACAAATCTGATTATCTACTTAACCAAGATCAGCTTTATTTTTCTTTTTTTATAGACTTCTAAAATGTGGACTTACGACTTTTCAAAATCGCAGCGTCTCTGTGGAAAAGAGCTACACAAAGTGTTGCCTGCTGTTTGTTAAAGCTGCTCTATGCACTTCTATAACTGGTGATTTTAAGAGCAATAACAAGTTCAACTTCTTCCTCCACAAAACTTATGCTATGTCAAAGTGACCGACAATCTTCTTAAGCATCAACAAGTTTGTTCCAGTCACTTACACTTGAGCAAATTCATTGAAAGCTTGATTTTTTCATTACTTTCACTGACGACATACTGTGAAGACTGTATCAAACCATGTAACACTCAGAACTGACGTATTCTCAAGTCTGAATACAGGCCTTCAAGCTTGCTTTGGGGTTGTTTTGTTTTATTTTTTTAACTGATAGCACAATTACCTTAATTTAAAAAGAAAAAATATTAAAAAAAACAACACCCTACTTCTGAAACTCTTCAGGGTTGGAATCTGGCTCCAGGTTCTTCCTCCATCTCTCCCAGGATCTCTCAGTTATGAGTTTCTCCCCTGGAGTCTCAGGAATACCCATGGCCTGAGCAAAGAGGTGTGCACCATGGTCAGTCAGCAGCATGTGCTTTGTCTGCAGAAGACAGACAAGAGATTCATTGACAACTCTTGTTTTGCCTTGTACTGAGCAGTTTTGTATAACCACTCTTTATTTTTAGAAATAACCACACAAAGAAAATTCCAATTCTTGTTTTATTTTTAAACTTTCTAGATTTCTATGCCTATATCGTCTTCTACTAGCTGAAAAAAATTTTCAGCTCTCCAAATCACAGACACAAATTTTCATCTTTAGTAGAAAAGAATTGCATTTATCTACTCAATACTTATTATAATGGGAAAAGAAAAATTGGTAAATTTGCTCTATACATGCAACTTCTTTGTATTGTTTCCAGTCAATCACCAAATCATCACTTAACTGTTTTCTCCAGTTAAAGAGACCTAGAAGGATTTTACTTGGAAGGAAAGAATGGTAAATAAATTCCTGTTCTGTCTGAAGGTATTACTTTTTGTAAAATAACCCAGAAATGTAAACAGCATACACTATATCATACAGTAACATGTTTCTTAACATCAGCTGAACCATTTTATTTTAAATACTTCCTTCAACTAGCTGCTACTCTTATAGACCCAGAATCTCAGATTTAAGATCAGAATATTATTCTCGCAGGTTTGACAAAAATGTTTGCTCTCTTCTAACAACTGCAGAAGCTCTATTTTGATTCCTTCATTCAGCAAAGCACTTAGACCAGATTTTAAGTCAACAACCTTAGTTAATTCCATACAGCTTGGTTAATTCCTATTTTAGAGAAATTCGCCAGATAAATTTGTTTCATCAATCCTTATATTTTAGTTGGAGCAAAAAAATCTGACTTTTTTTTTTTAAATCTGTGTATAAAATAAGTGTCAACTTCTTGGACCACTACACAGCTGTAGTGTACACTACACAGAGCCGAGGAAGGTTTTGGAGATGGTCTGACTATGTAGCATGGAGTCATTTTGGATCATGGCAGCTAACTTCAAGCCAGCTTTTATGTCCATGCAGCAGCACAGCACACAGGTACCAAGAAGCAGAGATCCAAAAAGTAGACCCACATGATGCTGGACCTAGCGGGCCTGCAGAGCCAAGCAGGACACCGGAGTGGCACACAGTCTGCTCTCCGCCTGAAGCGAGGATGCCAGAAGTCGGGTATTTCTGCGTCATGCTGCATTCCGCAGGACATTTACAGTCTCAGAGCTTCAGACTTTAAGATGTTGCAAACCATCAACTTCTGTTGGTTTCTCAAGCAATGACAAGCAATCACTACCATGACCAACCCATACCACTGCATTGTCTTAAAGGATTCGAGCTGAAGCTCTTCCCAAACCAGACACCGAGCTCTGCTTCTGCCCGTTACAGCCTCTGCACTAACCCCTTCAGCTGCTTACACAAGCAGGAAACGTGACTACACTTCAGAAACATTCCTGAACAGTCACTCACGCATGTGGCGGCCCTAACATCAAACACTTCTGAGATTTTAAATGTCCTGTTATTGACAAATTAAGTCCTCAATTCGTAAGAGTACTGCTTCAGGGAACAAGAGTAAGGGTTACAAGGAAGAAGTCCTCTGTATGTGTGAAAGAGTGGACAACTGGCTTACAAGCAGAGTGATGTTACCAGCCAGCAAAAGACCTACCTGTTTCTTACAAAGCTGCAGTGTTCTTCCGACCTGAAAGACAACTGCTTTGTGCGATGCTGCCCCCCACTGCCACGAAACCACCAGAGGCACACGATCCAATAACTCAAACTGGGTTTGGCTGGGGGTTTTTAGGTGGTTTTTTGGTTTTATTTTTAGGAAATACATTGAACTGTCTTTTTGAATTTATCTGTATCAGAAAGCTGTGTCCTCCATCACTTGCTTTCTTCAACAATTAAGACTCTATATCATTCTTTAAGTAAGTTTTAAAAAAATTAAAACTTTATTGTAAAAAATGGAAGTTATTTCTTAAAACTTTTTCAAAGGGTTTCTTCCCATATGCAGATTCTGGTAACATACCCACCTTCCTGAGCTGCACAAACAAAAAAATGCTTGCACATAGAGGAATAAGCTTCTATGATAGGTTTTGGGTGGGCTTGGTATTTTTTTAGTCCTCACTGAAATGAAGGTTATCTTCAAGGAGAAATTTATTTGGTTTTCTATTCAATATATCTTGTCAATCAAAGGAACTGGTAGAACATTGCCAAACAACCCAAAAGCACATTTTTCTGTCTCATCCTTCATCTAGAGTTTCATGAATATGTTTGCTAACTTAATTCTTCTGGGACACATTTCTACAAAGTAATCCAAAAAGACAAAGAAACCTGCCCCTAGATAAGGGGTTGCAGAGATCTTACAAACAAACAGCAAATTTTGGCAAGTTCAGTTTATTTCATGGGAAACAGGGAAAAGAAAATCCCCCAAATTTCTGCAGATGACCTGAAATTCACACCATCACTGTTCTTCATTTAACAATCCTGGCAGCGCACACAGCACAGCAAAAATCTGCACCTTTGCCTTGAGAAGTCTATGTTCCAAGCTAAATTCACCTTTGTCTAATGCAAAGAGTTGGATGGTATAGTAGAGGAAAACATATACACAGTTCATGTATATCAATGAATCAGCACTCTAATTTTCACAGGATGCCTGTCTAATGAAGTGTTGGAGCTAAGGGGGATTACATGCCCTATTTAAATAAAAAAAAAGCGCCATTTGCCATTTCGCTGTATAATTCTCTTTGTTCACTACAAACAGGACAAATTCAACAGGAATTTAACTGCTTTCTCAAGGATTTGTAGAATTAATTAGTTAACATACCAAAAGCCTTCCATCTCTAGAGGCTGCCATGTTCAATAGCATAGTAAACCATAAATGGAACTCCCCCATGAATTTGGACAAGTTGAAGCCCAGTGAGAATGTGACAGCACACAGGATAAATGTGCGCAACAACAATCTAGAAGAGCTACTCTGGCCACCAGATGGAGCCCATATTGTTCCATAATAGGAACAGAAATACAGAAAATCACTAGCAGATGGGGAGGAGTTTTTTGGGGTTTGGTTGGGTTTGGGAGCTGTGTGTTTCAAAATTCCTTAAGACAGCGAGGCATCTCAAAACCACTGGGAAATAAGCATCCTAACATGCTTAGGACCCCAGGAAAACTACAGTCTCATTACCCATGGGTCACAGAGTTCAAAACATTTTTAATCATGCACAGCAAAATGAAACAACATACACTCTGAAAAGTACTATGAAATAGCCTGGGTTGGTGTCCCAAAATTCCTGTCCCAGATGAATAAAAGAGCAACACCAGTTGGTATTCCCATTTACAACACCTGACAGAGAAGCAGCAGAAACTCACCTCAAGACATACAAGCAATTTAGGCCAACATGTACATTTGAACTTTGTTTCATCTACACAGAAATTTTTGCATCTGGGCAAACAGCAATACAATGCACCACAAAATTTCATGATTTTATGGCTATACCACTTTACTTGGTCCTGTACAGCTGAATTTTACGATTTCCTTTCAAATTTAGCCTCAACATTCTTGAACACCAGAAGCACCACACAATGGCAAGAAAGACCTTATAACAGAAGAGAAAGACAAAGGAGCGGGGTCTTTTTGACTTCATTCTTGTTGGCTTAAACGAGATTTTGTCACAGAGAAGACAACAAAAAAAATCAGTGAATCTGGAATATGAACTGAACAACATGCATTAAAAGAAGTTATCTACAGAAAAAAAAAAAAATTACAACACTCCTCCCAACATGCTAGAAGACATCGCTCCTCCAGCTCTCCACCTACATTCTCAAATTCTGAAAAAATTGGCCTTGTGAAGCTGTCTACCAGCTATACTTATTTGTTCCAGCTAAATGACAGAATAAATCCCATGTGAAGGAACAAAAAGCTCATTCATCACAAGTTTTAACAATGTTCTCCAGTGGATACACATTTTCAAAGTATTTATGTTAAATACTTTAGTGAAAAGTCCTGATTTTAAAAGCAGAACTATTCTCCAATTAAGGGCAAAAATAATTCTTATCTTCTTTGGAGACCGTTGAGGACAAATTACATTTCAATCATCTTCACAGATCACCAAAAGATGTTTTGTTTCCTCAAAAGTCACTTCGAAAGGTTAAAGAAACATAAATCCTCTTTGTTAGTAAGTATTGTTGCAAATATCAACCCTTTTCAACAATGGGGCAGCTGCACTAGCAGGATGAAAAAGGTAAACTTTTTGATCACTGTCACAGTCTAGTAATGGTAAAACAGATGCACATATCACACAAATGACTTTCTCCATCCCAAACCGTATCAGTTGCACCATTTCTGAAAAACAAGAGAAGTCTGCTGTGGCAGCTATTAGAGGGCCTTCTTAGTGGAGTAACGTAGGATTGATTTTACGTAGACAGTCAAGTAACAATCATTTTGCTGCCCTGATAAGTTTGATTCTCTCGGAGAGTCTGTCATGATCACATAGTGCAAACATTATCTTCTACTGCTGGAAGACCATGACTTTGCACTAAGGGTACCATCTGATTAGGTCACAATGGGGAAGGCTACCTAGAACAACGTGAGACTGCGTTACATGGCCAAATATGTTACTGGGTCATTTAATTCAGCTCCGTGTCATTGCAAAGTCAACGGTACATCATCCAACTTTAAACTTGCAAGATCAAGCAGAAGACTTCGTGACAGCATAGAAGCTCTGCAAAAAACAAGTGAACAAAAAAACCTCTAAAATCTTGAACACTGGCTGTGGAGCTACAGCAGACCGACATGTATAGGTCAATTTCTCCTTGAGCTTCCAATTGCATGGCAGAACTGATGTTTCCTTAGAATGCTATTTTTAATAAATACCTCCCAAAACCCCTTAAAATAAAAGTTTGTCATGGTCATGACCATAGTTTCCAAATACTGCCACCCATTTCTCCCTTCTTTCCTGCTTTAAAGCACTACACAAACATCATTACTGAGGTGTATCAATGTAACGGATGAAGTTCCAAATGCAAAAAATGCTTCACATTCAAGTACATATTCCACATACCTTTTCCATGACAAGTCGAGCAAGTTTTATTGGGTTTGCTATACACTTCACTGCAGATACTGCTCCAGAGTCTAAATTTTTTCCATCCATGATAATTGCATCCATTTCTACTTCACCTTTTTCATTTAGAACAGATCCACAGCCTACAGAGCAAAAGAAAAAAAAAGGGGGGGGGGGGGGGAAGAAGAAAGTCATTAAGAGCTAATCATCAGGTGATTCAATTATTAGATCTCATCAAGCAAACTTTCCCAGTTTGTTGTGTGACTTATTGAAAGTATCTCCTGAATACAAACAGAATTCCAGCAACACTGCCGACTATAACTACAAAATCCAGCCATTAACAGAAGTCACATAGGGTACAATCTCTACTTTAAAATCGAGTTTTATTTTTATAACATGAAAAACACTTTTCCAATCCCATCCAAAATGATATACTAGGTATGAAAGTTAAAACGACAAACAATCATGAACAGAATTCTTTATCCCCCAGATCATTTCAAGTGCACATAAAACTATTTTACCTTTACAGTTCTTCCAAAGGAGGATACAACATAACCCAACAAAACAGTATAGTGTTCAAATCTATCAACAGATTAATGTCACACAGTGTTCCAAGAAACTGCCAAAACTGATGGAGCAGAATAAAAGTGTATGCTCACTACTGTAACAAAAGCTTGAAATAACAAGTTCTTCATTACCAAATAAAAACAGTAGATGAAGGAATTAAAAAAAAAAAAAATCAAGTAATGAAACGTTGGGTAGTTATTTTCTTCTATAATTATCGGTGCTATCACTAACCTAATTGAAAATTAATGAGATACAAAATGAGACAATGCAAAGAGTTGGTTTTTTTTTAATAATGAAAATAACTGTATCACAGGGGAATAATCAGTTGTAAGTAATCAAGTGCACAAGCCTTGCCAATAATGACAAGAAGACTAAATCTAAAATGAAGTAAAAAAACCCCAAACAAAACACGGCAGATTCACAGAGTAGCTCAAGCAGAAAGACTTGAACATTGTACAGAGTTAAACCAGGTTTTTTTATTTCTGTTAAGCCAACACTAAAGCAGGCCAGAAGCCACTGTTAATAATTGTTGACAGAAGACTTCTATGCTGATGTACTTCAGACCTGAATATATGAAGTTAAATCCCCTGCTACATGAGGCAACAAAATCCTGTAATCTGCTAAACTCCCCTTGCCACACACAGATATGCCCCCAAAAAGTTATTTTTTTGCTCCTCTCCAACTGCATAAGCTATTCCAGAGTTCAGTCCTGCAGCATTCACCAAGTGTTAATTTCTAGACTACACTGATCTGTAAAGACCTTACAGGTAGCTGCCTTACGCCACCTGTGTTAACATCTTTCTTCCAGCTTCTCCTTTATGCTGGTAGAAGTCTTCTTAGTTTTCCTAGATAAACCCTGCCATACTTTTAGCTTCCTTTGACAAGGTAGGCGCTCTAGCCCGTGATCACCAAATTTGCTCTACAACTAGTGTACCCCCTTCTCAGGTACCAGTGACCAGAACCATGGTTCCAGGGGAATCTCTACCAGCTCCCTTCATCACTGCATTAACAGTATCCTATGTCTACTGGACATCTCTCATGGGATACATCTTAGGATTTCCTAAAATCTACAGAGCAGGAAACAGTTGCAGACAAATCCCGTAGTCAATGGCATCTTCCTGCAGAAGCCTCCTTTGACAGTCGGTGAAGAGAGACAGCTGCCTTCTAAGAACAATTCAACCCACTTACCTTAGGCAGTTGTGTAGCCATCCTTTCTCATTCCACTGACAGCCGTGAAAGCCTGTACACTGTGGCAAGGCTAGATACTAAACTTCAGGTTATCTGAGGTAGGATGAATCCCTCCTTCTGTGGTTACAGACTGTCTTTTTGCTTGCCTTCCAGCACAATGGGTAGGGACTACCTGCCTCTGAGGCCACAGTATCCATTAGCAGCACTGAAAAAGAGTTTGGCTTGCTTGCGAAGCCAAGGCAGGGGACAAAACAGAGAGACAACAAAAGATAGAATCTAAGGGGACACAAAGAACCAACATGTTTGACATCAGCCAAATCACAGCAGGGGTGCCGAGAGCACTACTCCAATTCCCTCTATCTACAAAACACACTATCCTGCAAAGGCTGAGGAGGTCAGAGTGTGCACGGATCACTATATTGGAATGACAGTTCTTTATCTGGAGTGTTCAGACCAAGCTAGTCAATACTTCTAATCATCAAAGAGATGGCACGAAGGAAATATAACCATGGCCATTTCCTCATCACAAGCAGAACTTGATGACTTCACTATATATTACACACTGCAGAAGTCACTAACATGGTAGTTTTAGATGACAGCATAGCTTCCGGGTCCCTACAGCAAGCCTACACCGAGATGCATCTATACAGTATAGCTAAACCGTACCATTCAAAAAAGGACACAACTTGATTGTTATGCCCATTCTTCCCAATCTTTATTGTTGTCTCTTCGCAATGTCTGTGTTTTCCTTGAAAATATTACAGCAAACCTCATTTTTCTTTTACAAATACCACACGGTGAGCTTTAAACAGCCACTCCAATCAGGGCCCTCTTCACATAGCTTTCAGCTCCTTTTTACCAGCTCCTGAGAGGAGCTGTATCTAATGAGAGTTAACACAATTAGATGTGTCTAAGTGATTACCAGAGTACTTGCCACTTAGATCAGCATAGTCAAACTTGAACAAGGGCTTAAGGCTCAAGTCTAGTCTAAGCAACTTTTGCTAAAAACTGCTCATTTAATATACTACAAACAAGGTATAAATATTGTCAGAAAACATTAACGTAAACACCCTTAGACAAAAAAATAATTCAACATATGTTTCAGTAAGAATAAATGTGACCTCGGACCATGTAAAAGTTTGCCACAGGCACATCTTGTACTTTGTACGTTAAGCAAAATGGTAAGTTATCACTGTGTATCAGTCACTGGATATGGTGGACTCCAAGGTCCTGTCCTCAAACAATATGATCATTTTTAGAGGAGCATACACTGCTCACAGGTGTCAGTTCAGTGATGGCATGCTATGAGAGAGCACAGCTCAGAAAAAGCAGTATTAGTGACAAGATCCTACATAAAGGTTAAAAAAGCTTGCCTGCAAAAGACAGAATATTGCTAGTCCTTGTGATCCTACTTAGGATAAACACCCATATGCTTCAGACTGTTGTGTACAAGTTAAATAAATGAGCCTAAACAGATCATTATAAAACAAGCTTTCATCACCAAGAGTCACACTGAGCTAAAATATCTTTCCCATCTAAATAATTTCAATTTCTAGAAGCATCAAAACTAGTGTATAAGAAACCAAGAAAGTATGCAATTATTTATGTGGAATGATTAAGAAAGTGATGTAAACAATCTTTAAGCTTAAAATTTATATTGAAGTTGCTTCCACATTAACATTGGACACCCAGTGTTGGGCAGAATGTCCCTGAAGAGATGCTTCCAAGAATTAGGATTTTTTCCTGCCCTAAAGTAGCAACTCTAAACTCTCTGGCCAGAGACATATTTTGAGACATAAACCAGAACCATAAAGAGAGCCAAAGGCCAGATAGATACTGATTTACTGACCCGAGCAAAACAAAGTCCTAAAGGCTAGTGACTGATTACAGAATAGGTAAAGTAAAAGTTAAATGAGAGAATGCCACCCTGATGCTAATGATATAATAGTACACACCACGTCTTTAAGTCCACTTCATGATTTCAGCCTGCAGAATGCCACCCTGATGTTAATGAGACAATAGTACACACCACATCTTTAAGTCCACTTCATGATTTCAGCCTGAATCCTCGAAACATCAAGATGTTCAACCCAAGTCAGTAACAAAACACTGAAAGTTTCATATGAAACAAAAGCTCTCCCTCGCTCTCAGTTACAAGGTGAGAAGGAACAAGAGAATCTCTGCAAACTAAGCGTGCACATCGCTAACAGCTATCTTACCTAAAACACTGAACACTCACTGGTCTTTCTTACCATGTTCATTCCTGACATACCTTGGTGGAAGTGAGGAAATACTTTCACTGACATTCATCAAAATAGTAAATTTGAGGTCATATTAAGAAGAGAAAAGTATTTGGCTATTGACATTAACATTAATCATTAGGAGATCCAGTTATGAACCCTTACTGTATAAATTCATAACACATATACCATTACTGTATTATTTCTGTAATATTATTTACTAAAGCACTAATTGCAAGCATTAATTAAGAGAAAAACAACTAGAATCTTCAAGAACAGTGTTTCTCTGGCAACAGGTAAAGGTAAAGCGTTAAGACTTAAACATTGCTGCAAGCTATATTCAAGTGCCTTAAACGTGAACGTCAACTAAACATATCCTCCATTAAGGAGTCCACGTCTTAAAACTGAGCACACAGCACAGTAACTGGAGAAGATGTACAGAAAAGTAGTATGGCACCACAAGAATGAAACGGCAGGTATAAAGCACTGAAAAAAACAGACAAGAGTAACTCCTCTGCCTAAGTGTACTCAGAACAAACTACAGTACATACCATGCTGTTTTATTATACAGAGAAGTAAACTATTTTGTGAGATCAGTATTTACTCCACCGCAGTGTACATAATTCAACGAAAATACAAGCCAGCATTTTCAGAAACATCAAGGCAAAGCACTTAATTCTTGAAAAATCACCTGCATTAAAATGAGGATCATCTTCCATTGATCGTACTGCCTCCTCAACCGCATCTAAGGCACTGCCCCCCTGTTTCAGGACACCATAACCTCGCAGCGCAGCTCTGACAACACCAGCACGGCTTCCCTCTTCCCGTTCTTTAAAGATCCGTCCAGCTCCACCATGCACCACAATGACAGGCTTCATCCTGCCAAATTCCTCCCCGGGCTTTCAGCTGTGCACACAGGTTACTCGTAATTACCCTGTTTTGGAAAGAAATGTCTTTAGCATGTGCTCGCTTCTACATGGATGGATCTGTGCAGGTTAGTTAACAGCCATGGGCTGTTTGATAGCAAATGTTTTTTCTTTCAGGAAGCCGAGGACTCACGTGAAGGAGCTCCTAATTCAAGCCTGGACTGGAGGCACCAGGCTATGCAATACAACCTGGAGGTCAGCCCTGCTTTGTGCAGGGGGCTGGGCCAGGCGGCCTCCGAAGGCCCCTTCCAGCCCAAGTTAACCTCACGATTTAGCACCAACCTTGTCTGGTACCACTGCAAGTTACACAGAAACGTGCATCTAAGTAACCCCTGATCCTGCTAACTGCTCTTCATGCTTGATGGGTAGCTCTGTTATCTCTGGGAATATAACCAGAGATAAAGCAAAACCACTGACCTGACCTAACAGCTCACCCAGCTCTGCTGCCTGGACTTCAAACCTCTTGACCTCCTGCAAAAGGCTGTGCAGAAAATGAGGCGTTCAAACCTGGCAGCCAGCAGTTTGCTGCTCCTGCTCACGGCCTCCTGGGAGCAAAACAGAGTGTTGCTAACACATCTTTGGCGATGGCGGCTATGTTTTCGCTTCCAGAAGAAGGCAAAGGGGAAGCAGCAGCACCTCCCGCCGAAATCCAGGGCGCCTCAC